CAGTGACAGACCTGGGAGACAAATGAATAGAAATGCTACAAGGCCAGCGGAAAAGGGCTGGCCATCACCAGTGACAGACCTGGGAGATAAATGAATAGAAATGCTACATGGCCAGCGGAAAGGGGCGGACTCAGCAGTGACACAAAGGGCGGACACATCTTAAGAAAGAATTGAGAACCCCTAACAGTAAACGGTTTGGGGAAATATGAGGGTTGCCAATCATCCGTTTGCCCCAAAAAGTGCACCTCCACCTCTGTGGCCCCACCTCCCCCTCGAACTCCCTGACCAGCCACCGGCCAGCGAGCTTACCGGCCCCGTGTCACTCGAGGTCAGCTGAGCATCCAATTGGTCAGCGTGATCCGCCACGCCGGATCAAAGGCCCCGAGGCTGGGAAAGGCCAGGACCGTGTCCTCGGCCGGCGTCGGGGTGGCGCTGGCCGGCTGGGCGCCGGAACACGAGGAGTTCGGTGGCTTGTTGGGGGGAGGGCGCCAACAAAAACCAAGCGGGGGCACAGATGTGAAGTTCGCGAAGTTCTTGAAGTTGCAAGAACTCTTCATCTAGTTAGGGCTAAATTGAAAGAGGTGTTGGTGGCATCGGCGGGAAGTTTGCGTGCAGTACAGGTGGGCGAGGGACTGGAAAATGATCGTTGCAGGGATGAGGTGTGACGAAGGACGAAAAAGGTAAGGGACTTGGATCGTGAAAGCCATGAAGTCAACAAGGAGCTGAGAGGTTCTGAGGCTTTTCTGAGCTTCATCTGCGAAAACTGTTGCAGGGTCCTTCATTTCCTTGGAGTTCCAGGGGCTCTTCCTGCAATCAATCACTCGGATTGGCAAAAAAGAAACATCACATCAAAAAATGTCTCAAGTCATCCCAAGTCCACCCCGGAAACCCCCGGACGACATTAAGTCATCCCTCGGTGGTGCGAGGGGATCGGTTGAGACCATCAGAAGTGGTTTGGGATTCCTGCAGTAAACCCACTTGCAAAGTGGATCAGTTCCTTGTGTGATTCCTGGCCCACTCTTCTGATTCCTGGCCCTCTCAGAGGTCTTCTTTGCTTTAAACCGGACAGTTCCATTGGTTTACGAAGGATTTGACACTAAACCAGATCAACCATTTCTTTACTGGTCTTTCTTTGAAGGAAAAAACGGGAACTCAATCTCTAAAGGACTTAGTAACTCCGGCGTTTTGTCTTTTTCGTCGTCAACTCTTTCCACCTCCGTCCCATGGTAGCCCCTCCAGATCCCCCACATGATTTCATAGAGGCCTAACTGTCAGAAAGAAAGGACTGGTTCTCTCTCTTCTGTGACTCCAACTTGGAAGGCCCATGGAAAAATCCCCAATCTGGCGGCTTGATCGCTGGGTGGTGTTGTGGAAGATAAATCAAGACCCTCGCGGAATGCCCTGTTGCAATGAGGGGCGACATTGTTAGGAGGAAAATTGTAAAAACATGTAAAAACAATCATAGCCCAAAAACGTCTACCCTAGCCTTCAAAGACCAAAGAATGGTTGACCTGCTTTTGCAGTGTAAGATCATCAGTAAAACAATGGTTGTTTGGCCAAGACCGTTGAAACAATGGTTGTTGGAATCCCAGGGTCAACAGATTGTTTGCGATTGCCTCTGGGGAAGCGCAAACAATGTGTGACTGCCAGTCATACGATCCAAGTGTCATCGACAAAGTACGTCCCAGAAATTTCCACTCTGGAACTGCTCGGAGGAGGAAAGAGATCGAAACCGATGTTGAAACCGATCTTTGTGTCAAAGGTGAAGGTGCCGTCAACCACCGGGTTTTGGGCATACGAAGGAATGCTCGAAGCCGCAAATCCGAAGCCAACGGAGTTGAAGACCTGGCGGTTTTTTGTCCGATGCTTTGCTTTGAGGTCGTGCCGTGTAGAATGTAGAATAAACGCAGAAGAAAACCTGCTAAACTGGATTAAGCTAGCTGTCTCAAATCGGTGCTCAGGTTCTGGGCACCATTCGGATGAAAAAGGGGCGTCTCTTCCGACGCACGATCGACGCCCGACGTGAGCAGAGAACAAAAAACGGCCCTGGGCCGTAGAAGACTGGAGCAGAAGTCACTCTTCCAGTCCAGAGCTTTGGCACCACATGCAAAGACCTTTTAGGACATTCCATGAACCCACCCTCCTAAGTAGGGGCCGGACCCTCCTAAGTAGGGGTTCCGGAGCCTCAAATCGTTAGGATTTGGTTCGGGACCAGTCGAGCTGTGTTCACGGAGCGTCTGGGAAATTCCTGTCACAACTTCCCAGCACCAACCGTGTCAGACCTTCAGACCTACCGTCGACTCTTCCCTACCAGACTCGACGTCCGAGTCGATCTCCACTCCAGACAGGTCGTCTGTCTCTATGGGGCAGCATATGGCAGTCACATGGAGTGTCTAAAAGGTGCTCCAAACGGTGATCCGAAGTTTTTCGGAAGGTCCTTTAGCTGGTGCAACGTCGAACGGGATCCTCTAGGGTACCGGCCTCGCATATGGCCCGTTGGTTCAATAAGTTTTTTGCCGGTGACGAGTGTCAACGCTGCCCAACATCCGACATCGACCTAAGAACTCGAAGCTTGCGTAAGACTTCAACAGGATGGATCCAAACCCATGCGCGCTTCGAAGAAAGACCAGAATTTGCTTCGCCCGGTTTACTTGTCTGACATCTTCAGGCCTGTGCTTCATACTCAATCGTCCAGCTCAGAATGGTAGGACCTCACGACAGAAAGGGAACTGTAAAGAAACTTCTCTCAGGCAGGTCAACATCAAATGCACTCCGACTCACCGACACGGAAGTGGAGTTCACCCGCCTCCTTTCGTAAAGGAAAGTCGTCTTCCTTTCGGGACCCTGCCGCCCCACGTTCACCCATGTGATGCGTTAACCCAGGATCGAAAAAGAACATCCTGTCGGAGTATCACACATCTCACACCTTGAAGGATCCCCTCAAGAAAAGTGCTTGTCTCATCTGGGACCCCTTCAAAATCCCTTAAAAATTTAAAGGGACCCCTTCGGAACCCCAAAAGAAAAAACTGTAAAAAAAAGCCAGCCGAAGAAGGGGCCTCCACCGACCACGCCGAGTGGTTTGGGGGGCCCTGGGGGGGCCCTGCAAGCGGTCTCTGCTTCGAGACGTCTCGCACCGCCGGCGTCGAGAACTCGAAAGAAGGAGCCCCAACTCTAAACGTCCAAGGAGCTCAAACTCTGCGTGTTCATGAGCCATGTGAGCACCCCAGGCTCATCGCCACCATCGAGAAAGAACACGTCCTCAAGTCACTCCAGTCGCTCTCTTTCGGTCGTCACCGCGGTGTTTTGTTATGGACACTCCATGAGCACTGGGATGTTCTAGGAATCCAAAGCTAGTTTTTCTTTTTAATGAAGGATTCTCTTATTTTAGCACCTTATTTTAGATGACCCGAAAATCGGCATTTCCGGACACCCCGGCGGTGCGAGGCATCGCTCGTCGCGTCCAGGACGGAGTCGAGGAGGTTGGTGTTGCCAAGGGGGTTGCTGTCAGAGGTCAACAGATCCGCATAAGAGTCCCATGGAGTGTCTGGCAAATATAAACATCGGCCACGACTACTCACTATCATCGGCTACTCATATACTGCAATGGAGATTGCTGGAGTATCATCGGCTACTCAGTTAGGCCAACCCAGTGAATTCCAGCGGGTATCCGGGTTGGAGACCTGCAAGTGGTGGGCCGGGTCGTCTAGCCAGCTGAATGCTTGGAAGCAGCTGGAATAGAAGACATAGATGTCATACGTGTAAATAGGTCCCCGACCAGCAGCAAACTTCACCATGTCCAAAACATGTTGTAAGAGGGTGGGCCCGCGTCATTTTACGCATTTTATATACAAAAATCGTGCTCTATCTTATATACAGTAATATATACCTGTCTAGGGGATCATGGCCACCATAGTACCCAAGTAACTACAACCATTGCACAGTCCTCCTGTTGGCCCGTTGGCCTCCACAGTCCACACTACAAGGCACTTGAAAGCGACGTGACTGTGAAGCACAGTCATCCAACTACTTTGTCCCCAGTTCGGTCCTGCTGTGGTCCAAGGGTGGTCGTGGTCGTGGTGGTCGTCGTGGTCGTGGTCGTGGTCGTGGTCGTGGTTGTAGTGGGTATGAGGGGTTTCACCGCCGAGCTGGCACATTGTACAGTGTCTCCGCACACCTCAGTGGTTTTTCAGAAGTTTTTCCCTCCCGACATCTGAACAACCTATGTCTGTGTCACGCCTGCTGCATAGCCACACAATCCCTATCAACATACTCTCTCAAGAATCTGTGTCCAAGTAGTCAAAACAGCCAAAACCATGCTCGGCCCTTTTGTTTGAGGATTGACCATAAAAGCCAAGTCACAGCTGGACATCCTGATACTTCTTGCAACTGCAGCGGCTGCACCTCAGCCACTGGAGATCGGTCCGAAAGGACAGCATGTGAGAGGAAAGTCCTGCACCTGATTTAGGTCAGAAGTTATGGCTTCGTTCCCTACACGCCAGAAAATCCAACATTGGGCATCTTGTGGTTTGTAGTTACTCGGAGGAATTATAACAGCGTAGACCCCAAACAGTTTGTGCATTTCTGAAGTAAGCCACAGGGACGAACTGTCAAACAGTCAACGGCTCGAACCGTTCCAGCTCGCGGTCATCAACTCGGACCTTCTGGGCTTGTTTCAGCTCTGCTCAAGGTCAGGACCGGCAATTCAAACGAAAACAGAACGACATATGCTAATTACTAATTACTGAATCTGCTGAATTGTACTGAGATGTGAATGTGTGACAAATGTTGTAACCAGTTTGGCACCTGTCCGACCAAGAGTATCTAAGCAGGGAGCCAAGCAAAGAGACCAGTGGAGGCAAGTGTAAAAGCATGCGGCCAAGCGTACCGAAACAAGTGGGAGACAAGTGCAGACAAATGGGAAACGAGTGTAAACGCATCCGGCCAAGAGTATCTAAGCAGGGAGACGAGCAAAGAGAAAGGTGGAGACAAGTGGAACAACATCCGGCCAAGTGTATTCAGAGCAGGCCGAGACAAGTTGGACATTATACCAGCGTAGACCCCAAACAGAGCAATGTTCAAAAATGAGATCTCCGAACAATATGGCCAGCAGTATTTCCTAGAGGAAGAAAACTGTAGTCCACCATGTAGACGCACATACAAGATTCAAAGGGAAAGCATTAAAATTCTGTTTTTCATTGACTTTACAATGGGACGCCGTACAAGGGCTAAAACATGAAATTTATGGATCCAGGTTGTGACATATGTTGCCCCTCTTGTAAACACGAATGCGCAGACCCAATCAAAATGAAGATTTCCTCAGAGCACGGACACTGCGCTTGGCTTTTCCTTCCTACGCAGTTGCCTTCTTTGGCTTAGCCATGTACTGCATTGACCTGTGTTTGCCATAGGTCGCAACACTTGACGTAAGAGTGTGTGATTGCTTCGTTGATCATCCGCACAAAAGTAGCTGCCAACCTAAACAGCAAATCGAGCAATGCAACGCTTGTGGTGAAAATATGTGTAAAATAGTGTATTTCGATGCAAAGCCACTCGAAAGAAGCTTGTGGTGACTCAAAACGAAACGAGGATCAGAGCTTACTGGGAGACCAGTGGAAAACAAATGGGAGACAAATGGCAGACCAGTGTGAAATCATGCGGCCAGAGCACTAGAGCATCCAGAGCTTACTGGGAGACAAGTGGGAGACAAGTCTGAAATCATGCGGCCAGAGCACTCAGAGCATCCAGAGCTTACTGGTATGAAATCATGCGGTCAGAGCACTGAGAGCATCCAGAGCTTACTGGGAGACAAGTGGGAGAGAAATGGGAGACAAGCGTGAAATCATGCGGCCAGAGCACTGAGAGCATCACGAGCTTGCTGGGAGACAAGTGGGAGACAAATGGGAGACAAGTATAAAATCATGCGGCCAGAGCACTGAGAGCATCCAGAGCTTACTGGGAGACAAGT